CATTTAGATTAGCGGAAGCTGGCTCAAACATGGGAAGAAATACAGCCAGGCCCAGCGGTGCAAGCCTGTAATCCCAGCGCTTGGGAGATTCAGGTGGGAGGATCACAAGTTCAAGGCCAGCGTAAGCTATGGAAAAAATACAGCACAAGCCTGTCAAAATTGATAAACAAAATACACATAAATCCATAAAAACTGGCCGGGCGGTGGGCGCGCACGCCTTTAATCCCAGCACTCGGGAGGCAGAGGCAGGAGGATCTGAGGTTGAGACCAGCCTGGTCTCCGGCGCGAGTGCCAGGATAGGCTCCAAAGCTACACAGGGAAACCCTGTCTAAAAAAAACAAAAACAAAACAAAACAAAACAAAAAACATAAAAAGTGAACCAAGAGCTCAACGGTAAGGCACACACTTGCCGAGCATGAACAGGGTTCAATCCCAGTGTCACAAGAGAAGAAAAGGTGGCGAATGGAGAATATATCTGTAATTCCAGACCCGGGGGCCGAGGCAGAAGGACCACACACAAGTTCAAGGACAGCCTGGGAAACCTAGTCAGTCATATGTCATCTCAAAAGAAAAAGGGACCAGAGATAACCAGGCCCCACCCACAGCTGTGGGTACAACACTCAAGGAGGCCCAGGCCCACACTTAAGACTTGACTCAGCTCACAGCTGCCAAGCAAGGTGGGCGGGCTAGTCTGCTCCAAGGCCTCAGAGACACGTGGCTGCGCAGAAGACATCCAGGGAGAAAGAAGTGAGGGACACAAGGCAGAGAGAGGGCTCAACATGTTGACTGATGCCATTTCTCCAATTCCTGTCCCCGGTCAATGAACGGCCGGGAGGCAGAAACAGGTCAGCACGTGGCTAGCACGTGGCTAGCTGGGGTTTCCATAGTTACACCTCTGTCTGTGAGGAGGGTGGCTGGATCTGACTCACTCTACCATGTGCTCCTACACCCTCAACTGCAGCACACACCACCGGAGGCAAAGCAGAGGCAAGGAAGCAGCGGGTATGGGGGTCCTGAGGAGCCAGGCATGAGGAGGGGTGACTCACCCGTGCTGCTCCCAGAGGTCGGCAGAGTGGCTCGGAGCCGGTCAAAGTCTGAGAACTCATCAGGCTCTGTGTCAAAGCCCCCGACTGCTGTGGAGGCCAAGATGCTCCGCTCAGCACCTGCCTGGGGACTCCAGCTCAGCCTCCTCCACCCTCGGGCC